GTTTGGAGCAATGACTAACATTCAATGACTATGTGCAAGACACTGTGCTAGGTGGATTGGCCAATGAGAACCCGCTCTTTATAAGCATGTTCAGCATGATGCAATTCCAACAGGAACATGGACATATGCAAGCAGAGTTTCCAGTCTGATTATCAGGCCAAAAAAAGAACTGGGCCTAAGCTATCCAGCCACAAAGTTCTCTTTTCTGCCTGGCTGGAGTTTGAGAAAATAAGATGAGCTACACGGGGCTGGAGGAGAAGGGGACTTGTGACCTCTCTTGCCCTGACGCATGCTGTGGCTTATGCTCTCAAAGTTCAGGTGGACTGCATTTCTCCTCAGGGTTCCAGAGGATCCTGAGAGGCTTGGGGTGTTATTTATTTATTGCCACTGGCTCAAGCCCTTACTGGCTGTGTTAGGGGGCCAGTGACTGCTAGCATCCCAGCTCCATTTAATCTCTTAACATCAATTAGCTTTTACAAAAGGATATTTACTTCAAAGGCTGAAACAAAACACACATACAAACATTTCCCTGTCCTGTGCCTCACAGGCATACCCTCTGCTACACCACCTTCCCTGCAGGAGTTGGCACAAAACTTAGCTCATTTCTTACATAGTATTGGTCCCACCCATTTCATGTTCAGATGAGGTATGTTTCCAGCTAAGCCTATGTCTAAGCTACCATTGGCCTATGGTCCTGAAGATCACTCCCAATGGTCACTTCTTTATCCTCAGGGTGTCAATGTTACACTGATCATAAAACCTGGATTTTAGAACCCTAGGATGCTGAGAAATATTCATTCCTTTCATTACTCACATTCCATAAACTGATTTCTGTTCCCACCATACTACTGAAACTGCTCTGTCCAAGGTCAACTAACTTTGTAACTGCCTAATCTAATAACCAAATTTCTCTCCTAAAACCTGAGCTCTAATTCATAATCTTTGTTGGTCATTTAGTTATGTCCAACTCTTCATGACCCCATTTAAGGTTTTCTTGGCAAAGGTACTGGAGTGGTTTGCCATTTCCTTTTCCAACCCATTTTACAGATGAGGAACTGAGGCAAACAGGGTAAAGTGACTTGCCCAGGGTCATACAGCTGGTAAGCTTCAGAAGTCAGATCTGAACTCCTGAAGAGGAGTCTTCCTGACTTCAGGCCCAGCACTTTATCCACTGAGCCACCTAGCTTCCCACCTAGTATTCCACTCCACTCTCATTGTTCCCATTTCCAGGAAGGAACCTCACTCCATTGATCATTCTCTTTCTTACCTTCAACCTCCCCTTCACTGACTCTGTCCCTCTTGCCTTACCTGCTCCAATACCCAGAGGCAACTAAGTGGCCTGATGGATAGAGCTCTGGGTCTGTAGCTAAGAAGGGCTGTGTTCAAATCCAGCCTCAGACACTTCCTAGCTATGTGACCCTGGTCAAGTCATGCCACCTCTGTCTGATCAGTTACCCCAACCATAAAATGGGGATAATAATAGCACCTACCTCACAAGGTTGTTGTGAGGATCAAATGAGATAATGTTTGTAAAGCACTTAACACAGAGCTCTGAACACTGCAGATACTTAATAAATGCTTATTCCATGCCCCCTCACCCTTTATTTACATTTATAATATTTTATTTTTCCCTGATTATAGTTAAAACAGTTTTTTAACTTTTTTGTTAAGTTTTACATTCCAAATTCTATCCCTCTCCACTCCTTGATATGGCAAGCAATCCAATATAGGTTATACATGTGCAATCATATAAAACATTTCCATATTAATCAGTCCTCATTTTCCTTGACCACTCTGAAGCATCTGACCCTCCTTGATACTTTCTGGTCCCTTGGTTTCCATGATAATGTTCTTTCTCGATCCTTCTCCTATCTGTTTAATTGATCCTTCTCAATCTCCTTCCTACATTTTAGGTCTAGGTGTTCCCCAGGGTTATCTCCTTGAGTATCTTATATTTTCTCATTTTCTCTTTGGGTAACAATCAGCTGTGCTTTCTGCAATGGTCCCCTCTAAGAAGATACTTCTACATTCTGTATCCAGGACTAACCTCTCTCATGAGCTCTATTTCTATATTGCCACTGACTGCTATCCATCTAGATATGTTCTCAATTCCACAAATTTAATATATCCAAATGGAATTAATATTTTCCCCTACTAGTACGAGTAGAAGAGTGTGTTCTAGACTTTTTGGGGGGGGGAATGTCTTGTATACTACTGCTGTAGTATACATTCATTTCTAAAAGTTTATTCAGCTTTACTGATTAATATCCCCTGCTAATCTTGGAGGGAAATAAATCAGTCAGGGTGCATGAACTACATACAGTATTAGACAGTGAGCTGTAAAGATCCAAACTAACCTGCAAGTGTGAGTAGATGTTGGAAGCCTCTATTCAGTGCCTAAGTTTATGAAGTGAGAGCCCAGGAAGTTGTTGAGATATTTGGAGTGTGCCCTGAGCACAGCTTGGTAAAGTAAAGTGAATTGGTGATGGCGGTAAGGGACCCTGTAGGGCAATTATGGTCTGTTTTTATTTTAGACAAGTTATCTTTTTTGATTGACTTAATGATGGGTAAAGAGAAACAGACTTGATGTTGGTGTCAGGATAGCAATAAAGAAACCCCTCATCCCTTATTACAGTTACTATATTATTGAACTTAAATGTATAAAAGTCCTGGTAGACCTGAACAGAACTGGGTACCAGTCTTATGTAGGAGTTGAAGAACAGCATGATAAAGTGGGAAAAGAACATACAGGCTTTTGAGTCAAAGGGTCAGGATTCAGATCCCAGCTTTTACTTTTATCATCTGTGTGATGTTGGGCAAATCACTATCTGGGTATCAGTTTCCTCATATGGGGTTGAAGGGGTTGGATTATATGACCTCTAAGATGACCTCTAAGTTCTCAAACTATGATCATGAAATAAGTTATAAGTATTTCCTAATGTGCCAAGATACTGTGAAGCATAAAAGTACAAGACATGGCCCTTGCTCAATGGAATTTTCAGTCTAATTAAGGACATAAAAGAATTAGCAAACAAAACAGTAATGCATATCTCCACATTATATAGTGATGTAATAAAGACCTAAATTGTGTGACACAGACAAGTACAGAATAGAAAATTATATAAAAAGGTATTAATTATGTGATATCACAAAAAATGCAAAAGGAGTTAGAAAAGAGATTAAGGTGGGCTGAAGTCACCAACAAAGACTTTAAAGAAGACCTCAATCTTGAACTAGACTTTAAAGGACAGGCAGAATGTGGATAGGTGCTGTGGAGAAGACATCCCCAGTGAGAAGAGGATGAGCAAAATACTTTCCTGGATGTTAGTCCTGGGGATTGTTTGCAAATGCAGTTACTGACAATGACTAACTTTTTTTTTTGTCTTAGTACTAGATTATGGTTTCTTAACTTTTTTGTATGTCAGTGAGCCTTGCAATCTGGTAAAATCTATGGAGCTCTTTTCAGAATATTTTTAAATGTATACATAAGATTAAAAAGGAAACTGATTATAGTGAAATAAAGATGTAATTTCCTTCCTCCCTCCCATCCAAGTTCATGGACTCCCTGAAATTAACTCCTGGATAGTTACCTGCCATACACTTAAGTACCCCCCTCTCCTTTTCTGATTTTCTGCCCTGCCCAACTTGAGATATGTACCATTTAGTAGAACATATGCCTATGGAAAATTGAAAAAAAATCAAGAATTACTTGTGTTGGCAATCACAAGGAAATTATTGATTCAGCCATTCCAAAGGACATGGTTTGTTTGTTTTTTTGTTGTTGTTGTTGTCATTGTTGTTGTTTATTTTTTATCAAAGCAGGTGAAAGAAGAGTGAAAGAACATGACAACTTAATTTTATAAGGAAATGAAAGTAAATTTACAAATGGAAATTTATAAATGACTGAGAGGGGAAACAAAAGTGTTAAAGAGAAAGAAAACAATGTGTTTGTCTGATGTAGTCTATTTCTTCATTTTTCTTTTGGCTTAAACATGACAGGTACTAATTATATTTCAGATGCCAAATTGAACCAGGTCTAACGCTTCCTCTTTTTTTGAATGTTGACAACTAAATTTCAAGGACTAAAGTTTAATAAGAAGTGAATTATTATATAATAAGAAACTCCCTTTTACCAATAGATCTTTCCAAAGTTGTTGTTTGTCCTTCATTCTTAAAGAGGATCATGACATCAGGAAAGCCATGACATCAGGAAGGCGATGTCTTGACTTGCAAATGAATTGGATTTAAGTGAGGGAGGGCTGCACAAAGTCACCAGCCTCACTTTCTCCTCTGGAGCCATCTGGGTCCAGAGGCAAGATATAGATCAGGACAACTGGAAATGACCGCGGATGATTTATTTTTTCCAAAGTGAGGAGTTAAGGAATAATAAGTTTTTGGCCTGTAATTATTAATGATGTCTAGCAAATACTTTTTGTTTCAACATTCTGTTCAGCAATTTTGAGGTGTCAGTCATCTCCACTGGACCTCACACTATTGAGATCCAAAGGTAGAACAGCACTGACAGGATACCAATCAACAGAGCTGATCTTCAAGGATGTGGAGCAAGGACTCATGTAAACACTCTTTTTAAGGCTTTCAAACTTTCTGGGAATTTTTTTCCTTTAGGGTTGGAACTTCTTTTATTGGAATTAATCCAAAATTTATTTGTGTGTGTGTGTGTGTGTGGTAAATTATGATTAGCACTCGTCTCGCTGCTTTTGAGTAATAAATATTGGGCAGGGAAGGGTGATTTTTTTTTTATTCTAAAAAGTGCCGGTCCTTTTGATTTCATTTATTCATTCAACAAGAATGTATCAAACCAACTGCTAGGTGGCAGGTATTGTATTAGGCACAAAGGCAAAAATGGAACAGTTTTTGTCATCAAGGAGCTTACACTCTTTTGGGGAAGAAGTGGTAACATGTACACACACACAGATACAAACACAATAGAAAATAAGCAATATATACAAAGTAATTTCCAGGCAAAGGATACTCATAATGGGAGGGGGAGACGGATGTCAAAATAGACTTTCAGTTGGAGGTAGACCTCAAGCCAAGCTCTTTGTTTCTCACATCCTTGTAATCATATGAAAAAAGAAGCTGAACTTTGAAATCTTAAACTTAGTGTGAACTGAACTTGGATGTGTGATTCTCTGTAAAATAGGGAAAAGAAAAAAAAAGAAATAATTGAAACTGAAAAGTTCATCAATATTTGAACATATCACATACCCTTTAGGAAAATGTATACTTTCAGCTTTAGTGAAAATATATCAATATCTACTTATGTGCTCCTAGTCATTTTTTATCCTGTTTGAATTGACTGATTGGTTCACATATAAACTTATTAATAAGACCAAGAAAAAAAGGAATAATAATGCTTACAGTACCTACCTGTATTTGGTTGTTCTGAATAAGGCATTCTGCAAAGCCTAAAATGTCAGATAGAATGGAGTCATTATTATAGAACTAAAGACTTAAGGTTGGAAGAGACTTATAAAAATCATCTAATTCATTCTGCTCATTTTATAAATAAAGCAATAGAAGTTCTGTGAGAAGTGACTTGCCAGGATTGGAGTCCAAATCTTCTCACTACAAGTCCCATGCTCTTTCTACTGTACTTTACTGACTATTGTAATTCCAGTTCCCATTGATTTAGAAATTAGACATAGATCCCTAAATATTTCCCACAGGATAAGTTAGTGAAAAAAAGGAGAAGGAAGGGAGCTTCAAGTAAGGAGAAAAGGGAAGTTGTGATTCTGAACAGATGTTCCATCACTGGCATGACTGACAGCTCCATTATGTGACAGACTAGACATGAAGGGCGACGACTGGGGTGCCCCTTCTCTTTAGCCAGACCATATGATGATTAGTGACTGTATCATGAATAGAAAAACAGAGCTGCACATATGCCTGAAATATAAGTGAAAGGCATTAGGCCCATAAGTAGCAGGACTGAAGCTGGGGAAGGGAAAGCTATAAGCCTCCTAGGTCTTCTGTCTCATGCAAAATCTAAGAAATGTCATAAGTAAAACACCTCCTTTCCTGTTCAATGCACCTTCTTGTTTAGGGAGAGAATGGGGGGGGGGAAGGAATATTGTTTTATAAGAGTGGGATTTAAACTAGTCACATTTGCCACAAACATAAACTTAGGCATTTGTATTATAAATGCTTTTTATTTATTTATTTACTTTTTCCATTACACAAGTTTCATTCCTATAGTCCTTAATGGTTGAAAACAAGGAAACAAACAAATCCTAAATATAAAAGTAGATTTTCTTCCTGACTTTCTTGAATTTACTAATATCCTAGTGAATAAAAAGCATTCATTTAAGTACTTACTATATGCCAAGCACTGTGCTAAGCACTGGGGATACAAATAGAAAAACAACCCAATCCCTGTCCTCTTTTTTCTCTCTAACTAGGGAAAATATTCATTTAGCAGAGTTATATTCTGGGAGGATGGGAGAGCTCTGAGGTCCTAAGGGTGTAGCTATGAGTCAAATTGCAAGGTCCTAGATTCCTTAGGATGCACTGGGGTATTTACTTCACAGGATTGGTCCACCACCATTGGGAAGGAGGCAGTGGGCATAAAGGTCAGAATGTAGAGGAGATTCTGAATTCCCTCTATGAAGTGTGGGAATTGGAGGATCGTGGGGGAATTTTGCAAAGTAGTAAATCCAAAGGGCAGTGAGTTAGCTCAATGGATTGAGGGATGGGCCTGGAGTCAGTAAGACCTAAGCTCAAATTCGACCTCAGAAACATACTAGCCATGTGACCCTGGGCAAGTCACTTAACCCTGTTTGCCTCAGTTCCTCATCTGTAAAATCAGCTGGAGAAGGAAATGGCAAACCACTCTAGTATCTTTCCCAGGAAAACCCTAAAATGGGGTCACACAAAGTCAGACAACAAGCAGTAAATCTAAAAGTATCTGATTGATTCAGGTAAGATTAAAAAAAAACTTATTACAAGTTCCATATCCAGTGTACTAGACATTAAACTGTACCTTTACCAATTGACACAACTGGTTCCTTCATATGTAATAATGAAATGTATAACAGTACTCACCTGTGTTGGGGCAGCTAGCTGGTGCAGTGGATGGAGGCTGGGCCTGGAGTCAGGAAGACCTAAGTTCAAATCCAGCCACAGACACATAGTAGCTGTGAGACCCTAAGCAAAGTCACTTGTTTACCTCAGTTACTTCATCTGTAAAATGAGCTAGAGAAGGAAATGGCAAACCATTCCAGCATCTTTGCCAAGAAAACCTTCAGTGGGGTCACAAAGAGTTGGACGTGACTGAACAACATTCACACGTGTTCCATTACTCTAAGAACCAAAATAGCTGTAAGTCACTTTACAATGTTACATACCAAAATCCTTTGTATATTAACAACTTTATTTGCAATTCTATGTAACACAATAGCCTTGGTATGTTTTTCTATCATTTGGAGCATTTCTACACTGACTAACATCATTTTCTTCTAATTAGCGGCAGCACAAACACTTGTACCGAGTATTTCCTCTCATCAGCCTGTGCCACTTTTATAGTAACAAAGTATTTATCTGCTTTGCCGCACAGAAAAGTAAAAGGGGGGGTGCGTGTGTGAATAATTCAGTCTAAATCTTCCTAAGTTATCATATATTGTCAACTTGGCTCAGGACACTCTGCCACTAAACTATTGAAACTGACTGTTGCTTTTTTAGTAGTCAGTAAGTATGTTTAAAGGCAGTGGTTTGCAACAATCTCCTGCATTTTGTAGTAGTTTTCAAAATTATACTTTCACAGGATTTACTTAATTTCACAGAAATTACTTCTCTGTTGCATTTAGTCAGAAATTGAAGGCAGTGACATTTTTTTCTTTTTTTTTTAAAGGAACAGATCTGAATTTAACTATCTCCAAAAGTTGCAATTAATCTTTTTTTATAAATATGTTGCACTCTTTCTTTGTTCTTTAGAAAAATGTACTGAGTACTGAGAATTACGCTGTTTACTTTGTTATCCTATGTGTACAGAGACCAGAAATGGTATAGCAGCAAGAATACAGCACACACACACACAGAGACATACAAAACTAGTGATTTTGTTGCTAATAGATGTACATAATAAAGGTTGGAATGTAAATCCTGCTGGTTTCACCTAGCCTTTGTGTTCACCCCTAACATTATCTACATACCAAATGAGGAGCTTCTTAGAGTGAAGAGTCAACCCTGTAATTCCAGCATCTCACACAGCTCTTGTGAGGTGCGGGGCGTTAGGGGAGAAAAGTAGAGTTTCCAAAGTATGTTTGGGAGCCTCAGGTTCATCTGAGGATATAATGAAATTTAAAAGTAATTTTTTGTAATTCCAAGTCAAATAATTTTTGGGGGGTTCCAAGTATTTCCAATCAGCCCCCAATCAGGCATTCAAAAGAACAGAGAATTTTAGTTTAGGGCATTCTTCTGGCTTTTGTTGGATCCACTGAATGGACGAGGTTGCTCCTAGCACACAAAGAGCTTTAAGCCTGTCCTGGTCAGGGAGAGGCTTTCTAGCTACAGCACTTCAGAGGGGTAAGCAGAAAGCAGCAGACAGCGCTACAGAACTAAAGGCCAAATAGAAGGCATCTCAGTGATTGTAATATCACCAAAGATGCCCAGAATAGAAAGCACTCTACAAAAATCAGAGCCATGACACTGTAATGGGGTTCCTCCTGTCCTGCTCATAGATGTCAGCAGCTTCTTGTTTTTAATAGTTGTGTTTTACATAATTTGAAGATTTCTGCAGAGAATATTTCGACATTATCAGATAATATTAGAAGCTCTGAAGGTATGAGTCATGCCTTGGTCACTGCGGTTCTTGGTGTGTGCTGTTTCAGATATATTTCTTGACCACATGTTCCCTCTATGCATGTTTCTTATTCATGTGTGCTTTCTGTTTGCATACCTTATTAAATGGGTAGAGTGGGAACTTATGGTAGAATGTACCCTATGCATCCATGAGGGGATATTTCTTGACACTTAATTTGTCATACTGTTTGATTAGTCTTTTGTCTTAAACTAATGTGTTTTGCTAGCTGTTTAAAAAAGTAAATAAATTAGTAGGGGCTTACTAGCTATAGGTTTGAATGTGTGTTGACAAGTAAAATGTTTCAAATTTGAGGTAGCTTTTTTGAGGGTCTATGTGTAAGGTAGGACCCAGTTGCTTTGTATACAAGTAAGAAATCTTCTAACGTGAATTAATCTTCATCATTCATGAATATAACTTCCTCTGTGAATAAGAAGATCATGATCCTGAATATCATATCAATTTAAGATTGAAAATTTCTTCTATTTCCTAGCCAATATTGGGTTACCACTAGAATTCAGATGAAACAAGCATAGTAGAATGTCAAAGTTTTATGTGGCCATAATTTCATAGTTAACTAACATGCCAACCTAAAGAGAGCTTGGCATTCTGGCATTTATGTAGGAATGAATTATCAATTCCTACTTAAAGTGGTGGTGTGTGGGAAGATAGCTCAAATATTTTATTATGTATTAAAATATTTTATTTGAAATTTTTTACCGCTTTACTAATACTAATTGCCCAAGTCAAAATAGTTGATATTAACACACTTTCATAAAAATACTTTAAAAAAATCAATCTATAGAAATTTCTTCTAAAATTAGAGTTTTAAGGAAAATGTCTATATATATATATCTTCTGGTAAGAAACTGGTATACATCAGGGGTGCAACCATATATTCAAAACTACTGATTTTTAAGGCATAATCCCAAAGCCCTTTTTTTGGTTTCTTGATCTATGATTGTTCTATTGTGATTTTGTTTCTTTTTTTTTTTGTGATTTTGTTTCTGCTATAAATTATCAGTTCTAGCATTATAGGAGGCTTTAAGTATATAAAATGATTGGTTGAGGATCAAGGTATTTATCTTAAACTATTACCTTTCATTTCTTTGAGAGAACTTTTGTTTAGTTAATCCTAAAATTCATGGCAATTTAAAGTTGAATTTTCATGCCTATGTTACATGCCTATGATACAAAGTACAATTCCCAAATAGAAAATGCCAGAATAATTTTGCATTTTAACTATAAAATAGGCAAATCCCAAGGAATCTTAATCAATTTGGTTACTCTCTTTAGAAAATAATATAATATAATATATATTGAAACCATAGTGTAGTATTCTATGTTTCTTTACTAATTTTGATTTCATTTAATGCTTATAATGCCATTTCTTCTCTCTATGTAAAGCTGCCATCTAATCTGTAATTATTTTAGATTATTTTTTTATCTGTTTCCCCAATGTGTAGCTTTTTTATTTAAAAAAGTATATATGTGCATTTGGGTACTTCACATGTCATTTACTCAGGGGGACAACTGATTTAAAATAGTATCAGCCTAAAAAATTCTAATTCACACACAGGAAAAACACGCATAGAATCTTAGGATTTTACA